TGTATTTTAACTTCAGTAACTAAATACTAGTTACAATTACGAAGAATATGACTGCTGAAGTTAAAAATTCAGATTATTAGATTCAAAAAGAGACCAAGTTTGTGAATTTACTCTAAAGGGTTCAAAAGCAGTACTTCATTTAATTTGTGTCTACTTTTTAAGGCGTTTATGGTATTTTATGCCCGAAGGTKAACAGGTTAAAAGATCTCAACTGTAGAAACTCCTGGGTTTCCTTCCAAATAAGTTTTAGGAGTAATTTGGCCTGGAAATAAAATGTTGTTGTTGTTTTCTTTAGAGGATTAAATGATTAATTAGAATGATTTCACCTCAGGTTACAAAGGAAGAAGCCGGCTCGTACAGAGCTGTGGTGTCAGATGGCAGAGGAGAGGATGTCAGCACCTTAGAGTTACTGAACGACGGTGAGATGTGGCCTCCTGTCCACAAACACAACCATTTATTCATTCATGACAAAAACCTACATATGTGTTTTTAGTGTTTACAGAGCTCCTGCATCAGTATCATAAGCTCTCTACACACTTTTTCCTGTTTATATATATATATATATATTTATTTTATTTTCAGAGTATGACAAGCTTCTCCAGCATCTGAGTAAACAATGCGGTGAGTTTAATGCAACATGAAAAGCATGCTGGTTCGTTGTGGCGTTGCACTCCATTTGATATGAAAAGTAATTGAATGAAGCAAGCCCGGGCGTTCTGTAACAAGTCCTGATTGTCTGCAGCTCTGTCAGCTGGTCCACTGAGGATTCAGAGCACCGCTGAAGGTTTCAGGCTCTACTGCTCACTCAAATATTACATCAGCTTCCTGAAGACGAGCTGGTTCTTTAAGTGAGTTCATCTGCAGAGCATCTCTCTGAAACGGCTAAAAATCACACGGTTATCCTTTGATTTCCAACTCAAAGTCCACAAAACAAGTAGCTTTTCTGGTTTTAGCCTCGTTTTGTGGCTGTGATGATGATGATTCAAGAGGCTTCTCGAGTTTAGCTCAGGTGTCTGGTTTTCCTTTTAATTTGTATTATTTTGTTGTTAAATTCCATTGACTTTTAGTTGAACTGTGSGCGGGACTTCTCATTGTCTTTACAAGCTAATGAAAGATAAATTCTGTAAATAATCTGCATCATGAAGTCGTTTGAATAAGATCAATTATTCAGCAGACATCACCCACTTTAACTGGTATCAGTGAAACTCACAGAATTTACTGTGATACGAGTACTAGATATGTTCTGAATACTTTAGTCACAGAAAGCATTTATCTGTTTATGTCCAACAATGAAAAGATAAACAGAAACAAAATGATTATTGTGAGGATGAAAGGATGAAAAAAGGTCATTCCATTAGAGTATTTTCCCTTCATACTTGTTTATTTATTTATTTTTATAAGCTCTAATATGATGTATAGTACTGTGCTTTTTAAATCAGGCTGATAGCGCCATCTGCTGGATTATTTGTATGCAGAAACAGAAACGGTGAATCCTGAGAGCCAAATGACTTTACTGAAATTTACCCTGAAATTGAATTGTTGAATTATCATACCTTAAATAAAAAAATAAAACAATGTCTAAAAGATAAAAATAAAAAAAACTGAAGCTAAAAGTATGTGAAGAAGATGCAGCGGGTAAAATAAGTATTGAACACRTCACCATTTTTCTCAGTAAATATATTACTAGAGGTGCTAATGACATGAAATTTTCACCAGATGTCGGTAACAACCCAAGTGATCCATACATACAAAGAAATCAAACCATAAATGTCCAGAAATGAAGTTATTTGTAATAATGTGGAATGGCACAGGGAAAAAGTATTGAACACACTTACTGAAATTTATCTAATACTTTGTACAAAAGCCTTTGTTGTCAATGACAGCTTCAAGAYGCCTCCTGTATGGAGAAACTAGTGGCATGCATTGCTCAGGTGTGATTTTGGCCCATTCTTCCACACAAACAGTCTTCAAATCTTGAAGGTTTCGTGGACCTCTTCTATGAACTCTGATCTTTAGTTCTTTCCATAGATTTTCTGTTGGATTCAGGTCAGGTGATTGGCTGGGCCATTCCAGCAGCTTCAGTTTCTTTCTCTGAAACCAACTGAGAGTTTCCTTGGCTTTGTGTTTGGGCTCATTGTCTTGCTGAAATGTCCAGCCACGTTTCATCTTCATCATCCTGGTAGATGGAAGCAGATTTTTATCAAGAATGTCTCTGTACATTTTTCCACTCATCCTTCCTTCAATTATTTGAAGTTTGCCAGTACCATATGCTGAAAAACAGCCCCACACCATGATGTTCCCACCTCCAAACTTCACTGTTGGTATGGTGTTTTTGGGCTGATGTGCAGTGCCATTTGACCTCCAAACATGATGTGTATTCTGGCATCCAAACAGTTCAATGTTGGTCTCATCTGACCAGACTATATTCTCCCAGTATTACACAGGCTTGTTTAAATGTTGTGCAGCAAACTTTAAAGGAGCTTCAACATGCTGTTTCTTCAGCAGTGGAGTCTTGCGTGGTGAGCGTGCATACAGGCCATGGTGGTTCAGTGCATTACTTATTGTTTTCTTTGAAACAAWCGTACCTGCTAATTCCAGGTCTTTCTGAAGCTCTCCACAAGTGGTCCTTGGCTCTTGGACAACTCTTCTGATAATTCTTTTCACTCCTCTGTCAGAAATCTTGTGAGGAGCACCTGGTCGTGGTCGGTTTATGGTGAAATAATGTTCTTTCCACTTCTGAATTATGGCCCCAACAGTGCTCACTGGAACCTTCAGAAGTTTAGACATTCTTCTGTAACCGATGCCATCATTATRCTTTGCAACAATAAGGTTGTGAAGGTCTTGAGAGAGCTCTTTACTTTTACCCATCATCAGATGGTTCTTGTGTGATACCTGGCCATCATTTGGGACTGAACCAGCTGATATTAACTTGCACTGACAAGGGGCAGGCTTGCTTTCTAATTACTGAGAGAGTTCAGCTGGTGTCTTGGCTTTCCATGCCTTTTTACACCTCCCTTTCTTCATGTGTTCAATACTTTTTCCCTGTGTCATTCCACATTATTACAAATAACCTCATTTCTGGACATTTATGGTTTGATTTCTTTGTATGTATGGATCACTTGGGTTGTTACCGACATCTGGTGAAAATTTCATGTCATTAGCACCTCTAGTAATATATTTACTGAGAAAAATGGTGACGTGTTCAATACTTATTTTACCCGCTGTAAACAGAGCAGGATTTTCGAAGTGTTCTGAAAGAACTGAAGAGATCTCGGTGTGTTTCTCTGGTGAGTTTTATTTTAAATAAAAGTGAATATGTTGATAAACAAAAGTAATACAACAACCAATAAGTCACAGAACACTGTTCCCAGCTGAGCTGAATGTTTTGCTCCACGAAAGGGCAAAGTAGCACAAAGTGTGCAGAAGTAGTCTGATTGCTATGGATTCAYTGTTATAGTTATAGATCCGTCACAAATAAACAAGCAGAGTAACTGTTTTTCCGTAAATCATCCTTTTTTTTCTGGTAGAGAGAAAAGCATCGATCAGGAGGCCAGGACCAAGCCCGGCAGCAGCATGCAGAAGGTCTGGATTGAAATCTCCAACCCAACAGAGAACGATAAAGGCAAATATACGTTAGACATGTGGGACGGCAAAGAGACGCACAAACGATCGTTTGAACTGTCCGGRGACGGTGAGTGGAAATAAAGCTTCTTCAAAACGTAATAACTTGTGAGAACCTGAATGATTAGATGTTTGTTTGTGTTTTATCCTCATTGTCATCATAACAGTTTTTGCTGAAGCCTTGCTGGAGCACCAGAGGTTAAAGTAAGTGCTGAGCTGCTTGTTTTAAAGGAACTGTTTCATATGACGACACTAAAAGACTGATCAATCAGAAATAAAGAGTAACAAAGTTATTCATAAATAAATAAATTACTGTGATGCATTAACTTTATGATTTCAACCCTCAGGCAATTAGCCATCGCTGAGAAAAGTGAGTTTTCTTTTGAGTTGTATAAAGATTTGAGCGATTCTTCTTGGATTCCAGCTCAGCTTTTGTTCCCCGTTCTTCTCACAGACCGCGCTAAAGTAACCAAAGGTCTTCCCGACGTCGTCGCCATCATGGAGGGCAAGGTATGTCGAAGGTCAGCCACGTTTGTAACGATTTCACACGTGGGCTCGCGATGTCACCCTTCCCTGTCCCTGTTCAGTCTCTGTGCCTGACGTGCTTCATCGATGGCGACCCGGCCCCGGAGATCTCCTGGCTTCGCAACGACCGGGAGATTCTGGATCAGGCTCGCTTCACCATCGCCAAGGAGCCCAAACGCAGCTCCATCACCATCAACAAGGTCAACACGGAAGATTCTGGAAAGTACAGCATTTCTGTGCGCAACAAACACGGCTCTGAAACGGCCGATGTGACCGTGAGCGTCTACAAGCAGGGAGAGACACCTCCGGCKAATGCAGTGGAGATGTTTTAAGGCTGCAAACTGTCTGGATCTCTTCTTTTTTGGTTGTTTTTTATATATCAACATTAAAAAGTAGTTTTTGTTTTGATTTGGTCAACAAAATTGTGTATTTAGCTGCCTGCTAGCCAGTTCTGAGTTTGAGTTTTTTTTCCCATCAATCAGAGATCCAATCAGTTTATCAGTTGTGCATTTGCATTGCAGTGCATTTAATTTGAGTTTTTTTCCTGCCTGTGATCCACGAAAACTGTAGCTGCAGGTTTGAACTTCTGGTGTGGCCGATGTGTTGGTGAAGTGTTATGAATAAAGCCATTTACAGTTATGTTACTATTGTATTCCTCCCTTTTATAACTCGCTCCTCTTTTTCGTCTGCAAACTTTGTATTTTGAGAACGGGTCGTGTATAATTTTGCAACGAGTCTTCTCTTTCAGTTTAAAAGCAAACAGTCCTTTTGGTCATTAACCTTACTGTTGGGCCTTCCTGTCTCAGGCAAGGCCAAGTTCAGAAGATTAACAATATGCTAATGTCACATAAAACTACGTGTTGCTTTATTAATTAAAATATTATATTTAAAAAATTCTCAAATTTCAGTGAAACTTCAGAGGGGGAAAAAAGGTTTTGTTGTAACATTGCTTCTTCTGCATCCAGCACAAATACAGTAGAACTGAAAACAGGTAAACATTCAACCTATATCAAACAGTAAGAAGATATGTTGCATGTTGCACTAAAATATTTAAATTTTCCTTTGATGCAGGAAGAGGGTTGGCCAATCAGGAGTAACTGAACTCCAGGTTGTTCAAACAGTTGATTACTTCAGAGGCTTGTGTTACTCATTAGCCACGGTACACTGCACTCTATTCCTTTGGGTATAAGAAGGTGTGGGTGTCCCTTCAGCACCTTTACACTGTGTTGAGCTTCACACAACTGTCTCAGCCTCCAGCCGTCTTGGTGAAGGAGAAACCCAGAACCTCTGGAAAACCATGGACTTCAGCGGAACATGGCAAGTCTACGCTCAGGAAAACTACGAGGAGTTCCTCAGGGCCATGGGTGCGGCAATCTTCCGTTTTCTTTATGCTTTGTGACTCGCAAAATTCCAATGGTTTAAGCTTTTGAATATCAACGTTTCTTCTCAACAGAACTCCCAGAAGATGTGATCAAGATGGCCAAAGACATCAAACCGATCACTGAGATCAAGCAGACGGGCAATGATTTCGTCATCACCTCCAAGACGCCTGGAAAGTCGGTGAAAAACTCCTTCACCATCGGGAAGGAGGCTGAAATTACCACTATGGATGGCAAGAAGCTAAAGGTGATTTTTTTTATTATTATTTTACTTAAACTGCAAGAAACAGGATTACTGCAAGCTTGAGGGATGTGTAAGAAAAGATGTCAAATTCTTTGAATAAACGAGTTTAAAACAGTCGTATGTTAAAATACACACTAAGGGCTAAAAAAAAGTCTTGTGCCACTTCCACTTCTCATGCATTTTTATTTTTATATCAATTTTTCAACCTATTACTCCACAGAGACAAGAGTCTTTAGTATCTCATAAATGACACTGAAAACTTTTTGCCATTTCTTCGGGGGATGCATTGTGTAAACTCAATTGTCTCATCCCATCAGTGCATTGTTAATCTGGAGGGCAGCAAACTGGTCTGCAAAACTGGAAAGTTCAGTCATATGCAGGAGATGAAGGGAGGAGAGATGGTTGAGGTACGTTAAAAAAAAGAGCATCTTGTTTATTTTCAATTTCCATGCATTAAAATTAAATGTTTTTTTGTTTCTTTCCTGTTTAGACTTTGACCGTGGGCTCAACAACTCTCGTCAGGAAGAGCAGAAAGATTTAGGTCTGGCGGTGGGGAAAAAAAGTATTTAAATAAAAAAAGTGATTGGTATGTGTGGTTTCTGCTGTTTTGCATGCATGCTTTAACAACTGACACATTTGTTTCTGACCTGTAAGACAAACCAGTTGCAAAAAAAAGACTAGCATTCATTCTCTTTGTCATATCCAGTCCACTGAGTCTGCAGCAAATAAACAAGACACCAAAAAACAAACAGCTGATCCCTTATGTCATGATGCTACTTAATCTTTGTTGAAGTTCTCATTGGGATAAATAAATATCAAACTATACGAGGCAAATCAATGTCTACAAAATAAACAACTATCAAAAGAAAAAAAAAACTAAAATTGGTTTTATGGTTTATTCTTGTTCAGAATACTGTAACTAAACGTGATCACTTTCCTGTTAAAGCTGTTCTCATTTCTATCAAACATGAAACCAAAACACAGTTAAAGGAATGCAAGTGTGTGTATTCATTTGTGAAGCCCACCAGTTTGCTTGAAGGCGGTCCTCATGAAAGAATGAGGGAAACCTTTGTATCCAACAGCAACTGATCACCCTCCATATGTCCTGGATGATTCAGTTGTTTTAAGAGTTTAACATGATTACATCTGAACCATTAATAATCACCTCTAAGCTCTAAGTTTCTACAGAGGACTCCATGTGGGTGACTGAAAAAGTCAATATTTGGTTAATGTTTGTATGAAAATCTGATGTTTGTGTTTATATAGCACAAAAACAAAAGTTGACTTAAGTGCTGTACAATTCAGTCGAAAGAAAATGTAAACATTTACTAGTAATCAAAAGTTACGTAAATGTCAGCATCTTACTACCAACATTTGTTGATTTTTATGGCATCTTATCAAAAGTGCAGGTAGAACTTCCTGTAGGCCTTTTAAATTAAAACTCTACATATTGGTAATCTAGGCAGCCTCTGCTTATGTCGGTGTTTAGGATTGTGTAATGAATGGTTACTGCAATTGTTCAACTAAAAGCCTACAATTACCTAATATGGCATTCACTTATATTTGGCGTATTTTCTGCAATAAACATAACCACTCCTGAAGTTTGTATGCATTTTTAGTTGGTGTAAATATCCTGAATACTAGTTAAGCACACATACACAAAATTAAAGACACAGGTAGGGGGGTAAGGGAAGGGATTTATTTTTTTTTCTTATTTTATGATCAAGTTATAGCACATTCTATTACATTTTTGAATACCAATCGATACCAATTTAAAATGGGGGCACATCTTTAAATAAACGGTGACTGTTTCAGAGGGACAAATTAGCAGCCAATTTTTTCGCTTAAAAATTTAGAAGGAGACATTGCCATGCACAATCCAACCTGGGTAAGGAAAAACAACGAAAGGCAGTACTTAAAACAGCAATCCACCTGTCAGCTGGCGGAAGAACAGCTGAGGGGTGAAAAGGGACAAGGTTTTGGTGATAGGTACCGAATGAAGTCAGCAAAAAAAAAAGTTTCAACTCAGGCACAAAAAGTCAGCTTATAAAAGTTGCRAGAATGTCAAACTCAAATCTACATGTGCAAGTCTCCTCGAATCCAATTTGTTTTAAAGCAATTTATCAAAAATGCACATAGCATCCTTCACCCTGCACTGTGTCATACAAAAACAATAAAAACATGTGCAAGATCTTCGTAAAGATAACAGTGCAGGGGTACTGAATGCTATTTGGCAGGGATTTTTTTTGTTTTTTTAACAAAAATATTCTTTTATATTGAAGACATGTCCTTAGCATGTCATACATTCATCGTTATTACTAAAAATACTTTTTGTCGTRCAGGCATCGAACTCGGCCTGCAAATGTACATATGCTACAAGTACTTTAAACRTTTCGTTATTTACATGGCTCTTGAACACAATAACTATCTCTTCGTTTTGTTAGTTTTATGCTGGCGAGAAGCAGCTTCAATTCTGCAAAGAGAAAACGACAATAGAGGACTGAATCACAAAAATAAAAAAGAATTCATAAGATAGTCCATTGCATCTTCACCACTTTCCATAGCATCTTGGCCTGTTATTCGGGGTGAAAAGTCTTGATTGCAGTGCAGGAGGGTAAACAATGAGCAGCAACAAGAGGCTAACAGGGGTACAAAGTATCAGACGGTCAGTCGAAGACGGAATTGGTCAACAACAACCTCTTATCAAGTATCCAAATTTTAAGCCCCTTGGGCCACTTCCCTCCAGAAAAGCTCCTCGGTTCTGCCTTCCTCCAGACAGATGCATGCAGCCAACTGGACCCCACCGTGCGAGCAGGGCCCACTTCCGCATGTTAAAGCTGCAGCTCTGTCCTGAGGAGGCAGAAGCTGGGGGAGAGTAACAGTACTGATTGAAACAAACGAACAGCTGCGTARTAATCTGTTCACCATCAAGGCTGGCAAGATAAACGGAGTGGAAACTATGCCAACCATAAAGAGGGTGTTGAAAAATTCRTTAAAATAAACAGTTCAACATAGCTTTGGTTACACACAGTGCTTCAAACACTTTTCAGCCACAATAATACGGACTCGTACAAAATAATGCTATGATAAGAGTGTTGCGGACTTTCAGGCACTCAACTCCTATAGTGCATCTGCGCACAGCGCAATAAAAAAGGGGTACAGGAGTTGGTGGTCCGAAGTCCATGTGCTATGGTCTCTTACTAACCATCGAGGTTATCTTTCAACCTGAACTTAACCACTAGCTCATATCCAATACAAAAGCTTTTTCCTTGCAGAACTGCAGTTGAGTGCCTTTTTCCATTTCAAAACAACGGAAAAGCTAAAACCATAAAGGGGCACCAAAAAAAAAAAAAAAAAAAAACTACAAATGTGAACTTGCTTTAGCACCTGAATCTTTGGATATCAATCCAAAGCTCAACCTTCAACAAAATTATTGTCTGTCCACAGAAATGGACCATAAAAGTAACGGGCTTTACCTGACCTAAAGTACGACCCTGATATGGGGAGGAAAGAAGCACTCAATCTGCATTAAAAGCCAACAATAAAAAGAACAAAACAAAACAGAAGTAAAAGGAATCCAGTTTGTCAGTCACAGAAACTGGCTCCACTATAAGCATCACTAACCAGCAATGCAACAAAACTGTAATAAATGACATATTTTTGATTGACTTAGGTTGATGTTGGCCAAAAAAAAAGAAGTTTATTACAGCTTTGAGGCATTCCTGGCAAGAAAATGCCTCAACAGAGTCCCAGTCTATGTATTGGCTCTATTTAAATGAAGTGTGGGTATTTAGCTAAGCCTGCACCTTTAAGAGGCTCTTGAGCTGGAAGGCCATCATCTCCCTGTGGTCACAGGGCCCCATCGGGAAAGACACCCAGTGACTGGGAGGTTTGGGCAACACACTGGGTGAGGGTGGCTCACTGAACTTGGGCCCTGCGTAGCTCGGGCTGCCCTGTGTTGACAGGAGCGTGTTAAGGTGAGACACCGCGCCCTCCCAGTTTTGATCATAGCTGTCGGCAAAACGGACAGAAGCACTCTTCTCAGCGGACACGGCCTGCCGCGCCTCTGGAGACCTGTGGTAGGCAGCGCCTTTGTCGCTCCGGCGGAGGCCGTGATGATGGAGGCCCCCTGCTCCTGCCGCGGACGCTGCCGCGCCTCCGGTCTGGTCGCGGCTTCTCTGCTTGGCCTTGCCAAGCTGATGGTTCTTCTTGGGGCGTTCAGGGTGGGAAATTGGAATGTTGTATCTCTCGCCGCCTCCCATGTTTCGGTACTACCTGTCACCTGCAACATAAAAATAATTAATTATTAAAACATTTTGCTAAGAAGAATTTCTAGACATGCACACATTGCAATGGGATTGTCTAATAATTAATCCTAACAGATGAGTAATAAAAAAAAGGAGTTTTTACTGCTAATCATTCAACAAAAACAAGTCTGGCAGCTACGTGCAGGAGGAGCAGACATTCAGGGCCGACTGCCCCTCCCCCACACCAGCCTGAGCCAAAACAGCCCCCAGCTCCCCCTCTTTTGTTGTTAAAAAACTAACAYACCTCTTTAATCTTTCACCTCCAACCGGTCCCCAGGTCCTCGAAGTAGTTTTCTGTCTACTTCTCGCTGCACTTGTGTGTCCAGCAAGGTCTGAGGTTTTCATGTGCCAAGGAGCGTTGTTTTTCCGTGAAGCCGAGCTGAACATCAATTCACCTCGGCGCACGATGCTCCCAGAAGTCGTTACCCCTAAAAAATGCGAGAAAATGCGGGTTAGATGCGCAAAAATACGCACGGCTGCCCAATAACAGGCTTCAACTTCACATTTGTTGCGTAACAAAAGCGTTGGATGTTTCTTATGAGTGTTACGCAAAGTGCGTCATCACTTGAATCGACAAACAACAAAAACAAGCTTGTTATTATTTTCAGTAACGCTTGTAATATAAATAATGTAATATAAAAAACAAACAAAATATTACATAAATATTAATTTTCACGTTTTCTTAGTATATAAATCATAAGCAACCATTTCTGGTGGTTTTAGTGAAGCAAATTTCGACGTACAAATAAACCCATTCTATGTGAAAATGATTGTATTTTACAATTACATATAATTCTTAGAAAAACAAAAAGCTTTACGTCCTGTTTGGGTCTGTTTTGGCACCAAACCAAAACAAAGAAGCTGAATTCAATATGGCGACGAGACGCAAGCTTCTCAGATTCTTACCGACTTCCTCAGGCTTTGTTGTTGAAGCCTTTCGTCGAAAATAATTGTCGTTAGCCTCTGATGTCACTCAGCAGACTATGTAGGAATCACAGCGAGCTATATTTCCTACAAAATCTGCCGCTCTTCGAGGCTGGTTCTGCTGTTCACAGTGGCCKTACAAAACGCCACCTCACTCTCTCTCCTCCGATTCTGATTGCAACAAAATGGAATCTACAGTGCAGATATGTAGTCCGCTGGAGCACAGAGCCGACCAATCACGTACCGAGTGCGACCCACACGACCAATCARAAAGTAGATGCGCAGACGCATTCGTGCCTGTTGCCAAGACTGGTGACGTCAATCACCAACCCTCCTCTCTTTTCCTTTGTTGGAGCGAGAACTTCCTGAGAGAAATTCAAAAACAACCATTTTCGGTCCTTTAAGCCTTTCTCTTTCCAGCTGATATATGTAAACAATACCAGAATTTACACAGAGGACACAGTATAGTTTAATATGTTAACATGGACAATGCTTTGTTATGTAACCTCAAMCTAAACAGAGATAAACAGCAAAATAGTCTAGATATAAAACGCTGCTTACTTTACTTTCTTTCTTTCTTCTTCCCCCTCCCCCATGAAACAGGAAATGATTGTTTTTCAATGTAGGTTAAATCCGTTCTGTAGCTCTACACAGCTGCAACAGGCTACAATAACAGCAGCAGCTTGTCTGAAAACTACCCATCCCCCCAGCCCTGTCTGGCTTGGTGAGAAAACATCTAATTGTTTCACTGAAACTCAGTCTTTTCTCATTGTTATAATAATCTTAAAGTCTCATAAAGGTTATCTAGCCTTTAACAAATGGCTGTGATACTTTCTTAATTCTACAAATTCCTTTTGTCCCATAAGAACTGCAAAGCAAACGTCTAATTTGCAGAAGTGTCTGTTGTAAATTTGTGGCAATGCATAAACCGGTAATTTTGTGTAATTTAGTGGGAACGTTTCTCACAATGAGTCATAAAACTCCCCAGCAGGTGATTGTTTGTAGAGGTCATGTGACATACAATTACTGAAAGAAAAGTTTGTTTTGTACAATTTTGCCCTAAATCTCAACAGAAAACGTGTTTGAAGATGACATAAWGTAGTGTCTAATGTCTAAAGGATATTCATTAAATAAACAACTATGAAATCAAACATATCCTAAACCAGTGTTTCCCAAAGTTGGGGTCGGGACCCAAAGTGGGGTCCCGAAACATCAAGATGGGGTCCTGAAAAGATTTTCGGAATTAATTATGTTTTTGRCTTAGTTGTTACAAAGGAGTGAGGTTAKTATATTTAAAATGGATAAATTTAGTATAAAAATATTGTTACTATGCCCATGTTTAGTTGACCTGATACAAATGTTTATCATCCAAAAATAGCTGGGGGCACAGGTCTCTGCTACTGTTATTTTTTGGGTCAAAAGCTGAAAAGTTTGGGAACCACTGTCCTAAACTATATTAAATGGTGCTGTTTAAAAGAGTTTACTGTAGTAGTTTTCCAGATAATTTTGAAATGCAGATACTTTTCACCTAGACTGAGGACTTTGACCACTGATAATACAGACTACCATACAGTTTACTGTTAGGTTTTTATGGCAGTTTGTAGGCCTATGTCTACAGAGAGCTCTTCCAGTTATTCAGGTCCACGGTCAACTCAACTTTCTGTGTTTAAAGAGCCTGAAAGAGTTACGCAACATGGTGTGTGTCAGCCAGCAGAGAGCATGAAGGGACACGCCTCTGAAACGCAAAGCCGCCCATCAGGATTGGCTATGTATGGAAAGTAGGTCAGCGAGGGGCCTCTGTAGGTCATCAAAACATTTCTGATGGTTTGCCAAAGTTGGCAGTGTGTAAAACACGCCAAAGTGGCTGCCGAAAAGTGGAATGGAAAAAAAGAAAAGCTGCTCGATTCATTCTTTTTCTCACGCAAAGCGGCAGGAATGGAATATTTGTATTTTGCTTTAGGCTATATTTAGTACATTGTAATTATTCAATCTGAAATGTGTAAAAGAAGTCAACAATGGGAGCCTTCTCAAGAATTTAACTAATTTAAAATGCTCCAAACAGTAACCAGAGTAGAAGCAGAGATACTTTCACTCACTGTTTTTTATTCTCATAAATTCTAACATTGATAAAACATTGACAAGAAAACATTAACAAGAAAATAACTGGCAGTTTTTGATGGAATTGTATGTTTATTAAAATTTTATTCTGTTATACTTCATTTCAAGTATGCTGTGTTATTCTTTGCACTCTGTTATCATGCAGCAACTAAGATTAACACAGTACTCAATAGATTATGTAACTTTTTTTGCAAATTACTGCTGCTTTGTAAATTTGTTTCAGCCATGACTAAAAGTCAGTTTTACATGTTGCAGGTTGCCAAAAAACGCAAGAAATTATCATTTTTACCAATGTTTCTCATGTTTTTTTTTACAACCTATAAACTATGACCAAGACAAAATTAAAAGTTTTTAATTAAGTATTGTGTTGATTAATAATCAGTCCCTCACAGGGATTAAATTGGTGTTTTTACTTCAAAACTAGAAGAT